TCCCCTCACCCAGGTCATTAATGAATATATTGAACAAAATTAGACCAAGTATTGACCCGTGGGGGACACCACTGGTTACAGGCCTCCAACTAGACTCTGTGCCACTGATCACAACCCCCTGAGTTCTGTCACACAGCCAGCTCTCAATCCACCTCGCTGTCACCTCATCTAGCCCACACTTCCTCAGCTTCCTGATGAGGATGTTACGGGAGACAGTGTCAAAAGCCTTGCTAAAGTCAAGGTAGATGACATCTACGTCTCTCCCCTCATCCAGCCAACCAGTTATAACATCATAGAAGGCTATCAAATCGGTCAAGCATGATTTACCCTTGGTTGGTTTGTTGGTTCCTCTTCCACTTAAGAGATTTCGCTTCCATACAGATCCCCAATTTTACTCCCACAGACTCAGCTCCCCCAGCACTGTATCTCCCACTCATTCCTTTGTCAGATCCAGCCCTGAATCCCAACTACATACTGCCTTTCCAAGTTTCTTATCTCTGTTCCATTACCACTTGCTGCTTCTCCAGATTCCCCTTCCCTACCACTGCATGTCCTTCCTCCAAGGTGCTGCCTGGAAGCATTACTCCTCTTCCATGCCACTTTGTGCTTTCCTTTCTGTTTATCCTTACACTTAGATTGTAAGCAGTTAAGGGGAAACATATTTTGCTCCTTGCATGTAGAACACAGAGGACATTCCTGAATTCAAGTGCAGGTTGTTCTTATAAATATCTGCCAGTTTCTGACAGGACTGCAATTACAGGGAAAAAAAAAAATTCTTTGGCAACTTTTTTCCTTTTGACAACTCGTAAGGGAGGCTGAAAACATCATTAGCTTATCTAACATATCATCTAACGTTTTAACTAGTATTATAAGAAGACACCCAGAAGACGAATGTTTAGAATACACCAATTCCAAGATTCCCCCCCAAAGTTATTGAATAAAAAAAAAAAAATATGTGTAAAATAAACAAAAAAGCCAAACTCCAAAGCATTTCTAGAGGTATAAGTCATACACCTAGAACACTCCCTATGATTCTGGAATCGGCCAGCAGTAGTCTTCTAGATCACTACAGGCAAGAAAGGAAATGTTATACAGTTGAGTTCATTCCGTCAAGTGTGAGCAACAAAGAGCAGCTGAAGGAACTGATATCCTACATCAAATCAACAGATGCTCCGTTGGCAGAGTAAGTGCATTAGAATTCATATCTTCCAATTGCTGTTGGTGTCTTAGAGGAACTGCTTTATAGCACACGAGTTTATCCCAGGTATGTGGCTACCTCTAGTGGTTCATCTTTGCATACGCTGCTACAAGCGTTCACATTTTGTCACCAAGTGGCCTGGCAGACAAACATCTATCAGCTGCATTCCCATACTGCTTCCACCCAAAGGGAAGTTACATTAATGCGATTTCTATTTATTGAGGTAGTTTTCTAAAAGGGAAAAATAACTTCTCTGGCTTTTTAGTAATTGACAATTATTTAAAAGCCTAATAAAGCACTACATTTACATATTTACTGTATTTACATTTCAGATTATCAAGTAGATTGAAAGAGTATCTAATAAAAGAGATCAATTGCTTACCTTTAGTTATGCACGTGAAATAATCATTATCACCTTCTCCTATCTGTTCCCCTGCAGCTTTTCGCTTGTCTGGATGATGTTTCAAAACCATAGATTTATCTAGCAAATAGATGCATTATGTTTAGAAATGCTTCATCATCATCAGTTTATTTTTCATAAATTACAAAGTAATACGATAAATCCAACTAATATTTTTCCAATTAGATACTTAAAAAATAAAATTAAAAGAATAAAAAAACCACACACCCCCAAAAACATCAGGAAGAAAAGAGATATGAGTTAAGGAATTTTCTTTGATTTAACACTATTGTCAGAATTAAAATTAGTTCATCTTTGCTGGGACACAAAATAACCACAACTTAGAAACTCTATTCCGCCTTCATCAGCTGAAGAAGTACTGATTTTCTGGGACTTATTCTAATATTGTGCATAGCAAAGCGCTTTGCTAACTGTAAGTGTACAGTTAGCTTCAAAAAGCATAATGCAGTTTCAAGACCTTAATTGTGCAAGTTTGTACAATTCCCTGTGCAATTATACTGAAAAAATAAAGAAAAATAATTAATGTAATTTTAGTTGTTATTTCTAATGAAAAGCAAAACAGTTCAGATAAAATAAAAATTGTTTTCTATTTCTTTAATCAAGTTCTGAACACGTTCCAAGATAAAATTTAGCAAGGGAACTACAGCCATGAGCCTGTGAAGACTGCTGCACTTACTCACGGATAACATTAAACACACACACAAGACTGTGGTCAAGTTCTCTCTCTATTCAGGCCTTAAATCCTAAGATATAACTAACACAGAGTATCTACTAAAGTTGCTACTGAGTTTATGCTAGTGTTTAAACAGTAAAAACAGATTTTAAACAGACTTCTTTGCCAAAAGGTCCAGCCATATTATCATACAACATAAATTGTACCTTCTTGGCTCACTATAAAATACCAGAGAGAAGATATTATGCAAGTAGTTACAGCAACCTGCCTTTCGAGAAACAAATCAGAATCCTTTTTAAAATAGGAAAGCACAGTATATACTGGTGAGAAAGACTCACATGTCTATACTACCATGTAATAATTGAGTGCTATAAGGATCCTAAAGAGAGAGATGGCCCAGTTCTTGCTCAACAAGGTTAGTGAGACCACTAATCACCACCGGAATAGGTATTGCTTTATTCTGTATTAGCACATGCTCCATGGCGGCACTGCTAAGCAACACATATCTGAGGCAATATAATTTCCTGTGTAATTGGTAATGCGCTAATTTCCATCCATGTTCACTAGGGAGCATCTGTGGTTTCACCGGGGACAGTAATTCTCCTCACACCAGTACAGTTATACAGGCAATTGTTCGCCAGATCAACTCACAAAACCATCAGCTCATTTCATAAAATTGCATCCTTCTTGCTAAGTCAACTCTTGGTCACATTGCTTTCTAGGAAAAAAAGTTCTGAAGCCCAACATGTTGTTCCTTCATATGCAAGTACCATGAAATACCCCCAATCACCTGCATGCACTTCTGAATCATGTCACGATGTAAGTGACAGGACCATGACATCATTAAGCAGCACATTGGCACTTCCAAGTTCTATTGCTTACCTAGCCAAAATGTCACAGAAACATAACCTCACAAGACTACATTTTTAACGGCTTGGTAATATGCCAGAGATCAGCCACAGGAACTCTACAATTTTCACAGGGTAAAATGAGCAAAGAAGAACAAAACCGAGCTTCTCAGTGGCCTAAGCAACTTTTAGTTACTTGAATACCTGAAAATTCAAGAGCTACTGCTCCATTCCCTTGCAACGCTCAGTCTAATCAGAATGATAAGAGCGGCGTACTTCTTAAACATTCACTAGCATTAACACGGCAGCTAACCATCGCGAGGGGGCTTCAAGGTACCAACCTATTGAAACACACAGGGCAGGGCTAGTTGTATTTCTCTGCCTTTCACTAAGCACAGCTGCAGACTCAAAAATACAGAAATGTCCAATTATAGTCTCAAGATCGTTGACCAAAAAAAACCCAACCAAAAACAACAGGCAAGAAAGCTGAGATGTGAACTCAGTGAAATTTTTGAATTCCCTAGCTTTAGGCCTGTGGATTTTGGAGCTGTGATGCAAATTCAGAAGGCTGGTAAGCAACACAAATCAAAGACCGGGCATTTTTAGGTCTGTGAAACAGTAAAAAGCTTGTTTGTGACGTTTATGTATTTTCACATGGAAAACACTTGTGTACATCTGAAAAAAAGGTATGCTTATGAAGGAAAGGTACTTACGAGCTGCTTTGATTTGTTTCTGAGTAGCCCTGTATCGTATATTTCCTAGCCCAAGAACTGCATAATGGTCTTGATTCTGAGGAAAAAAAAAGAACCCTAATAAACACTGATAAACGCGACCTAAAAAGCCACAACACATGCAGAAAAACAGTTCTCCTCCCACTCTTTTAAAAGCAAGAGGCAGAATTCTTCCCTCTCTCAATAAATATCAGGAAGAGGTTATAAGAACAATTGCCATAAAGGTTGTAATTATTGAATAACAAATATCAATAAAGTAAGCCACTGTTGCAAAAATTCAAGCTGCTTAATCTAAACTGGATTAAAGCACTGGATCTTAGAATGTTAAATTATTGGAAAATTGAATTGCTGTCTTTAAGAGTGCTAATACAATTCCAGAATAAGGGAGGTGGGAACAGCGGGAAGAGATACTTCTACTGCTTACATGCAGTAAAATGAAAAGCAACTGTTCAAGACTAAGATCTTATGCTGATGTGTGAGTGAGTTTGCCCTCATCAAACAGTTATGTGTGCAAAACACAAACCCAGCTGTAACACTAAGGGACACAAACCAATTCCATTTGGGTTGGGAAGGGAGGAAGAAGGGGATCTTTACCAGCTGGGAACGGCAGATAACTTTGTCAGGAGATTTTCAGCAAAAATAATTAACACTAATCTGTATCAACCGAATACCTTCCAGTCCTTTGGATCAAGGGTTTTTAACATAGGAAATTCTTCAAGCTGCAACTCTTCATCCCCTGATTCTTCAGAAAGTTCCTTTTCATCTTCGAGCTCCTGGAAAGAGGCAGAAACATTTATGTTTCTCCTCTTAATAAATGCTTCAAACCATCTTCCCACGGGTTCCACTTGACAGAGTACTGATGCTATAAGCAAAAACATAAAAGCAACTTCATCTTCTGTGGTTCACTTTTTTTTTTTTTTTTAATTAAACCCGATCAAAGCCCATAAAAGTACCGCATCACACGAGGCTGCAGATTGGCAAATCTTCTAGTTCGCCCTAAAAACACCAGGCTGCTGTAAAGTTGGCAGGAACAAGAACACACCGCCGAGCGGGCGGTACCTTCCGAACACTTCACTGTGCTCTCAAATCTCGAGAGCCGCTTTCAAAGCGAAAGGAACGCACACGTTAAATGATGCTCAGCGTCCTCCTCGCCGGGGTAACCGCCGGGGTAACCGGCGCAGGGAGACTGAAGGTGGACCGATACCCGCTGCCTCTGGCCGCCAAACCAGACTTGTTGCTCTCACACCGACCGCCAGCGAGCGCCCAAGCGGAGGCAGCACGTGAAGAGCGCAGAAATAAAGTAAAAGTTGTTCAGAAACAGGCGATTTTGCCACTCTACCGCCTCAGCAGGTGCTGGGGGTTGGGGCTGGGGGGTGTTCCTCCGCATCACGCACTCGCACCAGGGGAAGCCCCTCTCCTCTCCCCGCCCCACGGCGGCATATCCCGGCACCGACGCCCCGGTCCCCTTCCCCCCTCCGAGGTG